GGCTAAGAATATTCAAAAAATTTATGATGATCCTAAGGAGCCTCTCTCTTGGCCGAATTGCTTTAATTCAGATAAGAAGACAGAATATTTGGGAGATTGTAAGAGTTTATTGCTTAAACATGGTGTAAAAATACGATATGCCAAAACTAAGAAAGGTAATGCTATAGCTGAACATGATCACCAGGAATTTGAAAAGTCTGCTTATATTTAACAAGATGCTAAAGATTTTCTACTACCTTTATTAGAACACTCTAGAGATTGGGCTAGGAGCCTTCATGCTAATGATGATATATTTAATAATACCCCTACTCGGCTAATAAATATGTCTCCTAATAAAGCGGTAGAAATAGCACTAAATAGGGAGAAGATATTTGCTAAGCCAGCCGTAAAACACAGAAGGCCTATTGGTTATGATGAATCTTATTTATCCTATTATGACTCTGTGAGATATCTTCTTAAACCAGGCGAATTAGAACATGGTTCTGCTAGAAGAAGAATTACTGATATGAACTGGAGTTCTAAAATTTTTAATATCGGGAGAATTCTTGTACAAAAAAATTAGCCGGTCTTGTACTGGCTAATAGATAAAGAGAGTAATAGTCCAGAAAGATTTTTTGTACAAGAAGAATTGATAGTGATTAAACATTGCGATTTTCCTCTGAAATGGATACTCAATCAATAATTTTCCGCTTATTTCTAATTTTATTCTTTATTATACGCAATTAGCTCTTCTATTGTTTGCTAATTTCTTCTTCAGTCATAAGACGCTCTTTTTTGAATAAAGTATAGTAAAGGCTGTATAAATTTTTAATACTAGCAAAGAGTTCTTTTTTACTTTGGTACCATTTCCAATATCTGCTTATTCTTCTTTCATAAGCATCCTCATTTGGAAATAGCATTATAGCGGTTAATTTTACATATTCATCAGGATTTTCCTCATGATGCAAAATTTTTACATAATTAGCATATTCAGTAACTAGCTTACTATCTTTTTTATATCAAATGCGTAATGCCTCTCTTATTATTTTAAGTTGCGTCTCCTCAATACTTTTCCATGTAATATTACTTGCTGGGGTGTTGTTTGTCATTGTATGCTAACACTAAGTCTTTGCTGTATATTAAAATGGTTAGTTTAAATTGCGAATAAAAAATTCTAAAAAAAATATTATAATATTAGATGTGATAGCTGAGCCTATCTTTTATAAACCCAAATCCGCCAATATTTCTTGAGG